GGAACAAGAGTGAGACTCCGTCTCAAAAAAAAAAACAATTGAAAATATTTGCAGGCCAGTTATCCAGAGCAAGACAAACGTTCTTAGGGCAGTGCAAATGTTGTCCTGCAGAGAAGAAGCCAAAGCCTGGGCTTAGGCCCTGCCCCTGATGTCTGCAGGGTCAGCACCCTGTGCTCGCTGGCCCTGGCCTGCATGGACAGTCCACGCTGGGAACAGACCGAGAGCAGTGCCCAAGTATAGCTTGAGTCCTTCCCCAGCAGCCCCCAGCAGCTGCTCCAAAAGTGGGGGAGTCCTCCATGGTGCTTGGAAATCTGGCCTCGTATAAGGCCAGTGGGTGCCTTCCAGAGGAGCCCAAGATGCTGCTGACGGCTCCACCGTTTCCAGCCCCACCGAGCTATAGTGGTTCTGTGTCCCCAGCAGAGGGTAATCCACCACCACCAGGCTGGACCCTCCACATGGCTCTTCAGTGCCCTCTAGTGGTGCTTTGGTGCACGACAATGACAAGGAAGCACTGGGGGTTGGGGGGTGGGTAGCCCACCTGGCCCTGCAGGTTGCATGCTCAGGTGCATCTTTCCCCATGTGTGACTGCACAGACCACTGCGAACTCCAGGCCCAGGCAGAATCGGGATGGACTAGACAACACGCACAGCTTGTACAGTCTGCTTTGTGGTTCAGTACGGGAGTCACTTGATTTTCTTCCAGATGTCCATCCCCAGCCTCACAGGAACAGGAACCTCATCACCCCCAAAACTACCCCAACCCCTGCCACTGTGACCTGTGACCTGTGACAGGGAGATGGGGCTGCATAAGGACAACACTAGTGACCAGAAGATTTTTGCAGTTTATTTCTGGATCAGTGCCTGAGTATGGGGAAGGTGGGTGTGGGAGCAGCTCTGCCACCCCAGGACCACTGACTTCTCTGAACTCTCAGTGGGCCCGTGCTTGCTACCCTCCTGCCAGGACTGTGCTTGAAGTTGCTGAGATGGGTGCAGACCTGAAAGGCCAAAGATAAGAATTCAGATTTCAGGATTCAGAGAGGTCAGAGCAGTGAAGGTGGGGCTCGGGGGAAGGGGAGCAGCGAAGAGAAAGGCAAAGGTAGCCAGACTGGAATGCCAGCAGCACAAGAGGAAAGACTGGGCTAGCAGCAGTTCTTTGAAAACTACCTGATGGGTCTTGGTCAACCTGAAGGAACATATGAATCACTGGTGGCAGATTACATAGAAAGCCAAGGAGATCCAGAGCAAGAGGTCAGGCTGACTTGCTCAGCACCGCCTGGAGTGCTGAGCTCCATTCTCAGCGTGTAGGAGTGGTAAGTCTGTAGAGCAGTGGTAAACTCCAGCAGGCTGACCGGCAAGGAGGCCTTGTGGAGGACGGCACAGTGGTGTCCCCTCTCCATAGATCTTCCCTCCTGTGGAAGGTGTGCAGACTCAAAGAGAGAGCTTGGAATTATTCTGGGGAACCCCAGGGGAGAGATGAGCCCCAGTGAGTGCAGGTCCGGGAGGAGAAGGCTGTGGCTCAGTGAAAGCACTGTGCACCACCTCACCAGGAGCAGGAGGGACGGGCTCCCTGGCACTGCAGTGTGTAAGCCAGACAAGCCTTGTCAGTTTCCTGTGACGAGCACTTCATCCCATTGAGCAATGCTGTATGACACAACTGATTTTCTCCACACCGAGAATCTAAGACTCCATCATAAATTACTGCTGTTCGTTGTAGAAGAAAAGACATGATCACTGTTAATGGGTTTGCCGTTCATGCATAACTGGAATGGGTCCGTGCTACTGCATTCTGATGTTGGTTTGATTGTCACACATTGGAGAAACTCAGATTCTGCTGCTAAGTCAGTTGACCTTGGACCAAGCCGGTTCTGTCACCTTAATTAAACAATGAAAGGATGTCAGGAAATCCCCATTGCCCTTAATAAAATGCAGCCCAGCTCCTAAGTGGGTAGCAGTGGGGGGGGAAATCTCTACCCCTGGCCACTCTGACTTTAGTTTATGGAGATCACCTCCCCTGGGGTGTTTCTCACTGCAGAGCCTTCAGGAAACCATGTTATCCGCTCTAGCACTCCAGCCCAAGTGTGGACTCAATGCACATGGACCCAAAGAGGTTGAGCTAAGGCTTTCTGTGGCTTGGGACAGCAAAAGGCAAATCAAGTCTGAGAGAACACACAGCAGGATGATCTGGTCAAAAAATGGCCTGAAGCTGCAGGTCCCACCCCTCCTAACTCCTCCTGCTTCCACGTGGGAGCACCATCTTTCCCCCAGCTCACAGAAGCCCAGGTCACTGCCTGCTTCAAAGGCCATGCCTGGAGAGCAAGACCAAAAAAAATAGTTTCCAAACCACACCTAAGATCTGCCTTCTACCCCTGGGTCCCATCAAAGTAACCCTTCTTCCTAGTGATGGACCCTGGGGATGCCCATGCCTTACCCTCAGGAGTGTGGCTTTACCCTGGGCCTCAACAGCACCACTCCATCAGAATATAACATCCTGAACACAGTTATTTGGTGATATACTCTCAGTGGCAAACAGATGGCAAAGGAATCTTCAATTTAGTAAGTTTGTGCTTGACAGTTGTATGGATGTATCAATTCTGCAACTATTTAGTGTCCTATGTAGGACTGAACAAATGAGTAAATATTTGATGTTGTTCGAAGGCAGGGATTCCACTATGGGAGAAGAGTGATGAAAATATGGAATGAGGAAGGCAAGCAAGAACTCGGCAGTGTTGGATCTTATCTAGACAGACAGACAGACAAGTAGGTAGGTAGGTAGATAGATAGATACATACATACATACATACATTATTTTAAAAAGAGCTTAGAAGTAGTGACAACTTAGGAACAGTGAGACCATCAAGTGCCTACATCTTGGTTTCTAAACAACATTCTCCACTAAAAAGAACAAGGACTCCTTGGAGAAATGGTTGATTGCAAGGCTGGGAGCAAGAAAAGTTCAAGGAGTGCTGGAATCATTACGCCAAGAAGTAAGAAAGTGCTCAAAAAATTATGGTGATATGTGGAAAAAACATAGAAGGTAGCATGAAGTTGTTTTCCACTGGCCAAATCTGGAAAAATTTAAGCATCAACATGAATAAGACAGCAAAGGATTATAAGACATTGAATTAAAAAGGAACGTATTAGGCCAGGCACAGTGGCTTACACTTGTAATCCCAGCAGTTTGGGAGGCCAAGACAGGCGGATCACCTGAGGTCGGCAGCTCAAGAACAGCCTGGGAAACCCCATCTCTAATAAAAATACAAAAATTAGCCAGGCATGGTAGCAGGCGCCTGTAATCCCAGCTACTCAGGAGGCTGAGGCTTGAGAATTGCTTGAAACCAGGAAGCAGAGGTTGCGGTGAGTGGAGATCACGACATTGCACTCCAGCCTGGGTGACAGAGACTCTGTCTCAAAAAAAAGGAACATACTGATATACATAAATAAATGGGAGGAAAGGAAACCTCTTCTTTGCAGGAGAATGCCAAGTGTTTAAATAGAATGGTAGAATTGGAAAATCACCATTTTGCAGCTACCAAAGTAATAAATGACTCAGGTAAGAATTATCAATGGTTGCTGAAACCACCAAGTGAACGTCTGTGGGAGAACGGGATACTTACACAGTCTCAAAGTAGCTCCCACAGATTATTTATTAATTACAAAGGGGGAAATGGTACCTTTGAAATGGATATCTGACAGGCATCATGTCAACCAAGTGATCACAGATAACATCACAAAGTGCCAACGCGTCCCCCTGATGTGACTCTTACTTATGTAGGATTCCTGCCAAGAATGCATAAAACCTGGATATAAAACATTCAGGCTAACCCAAATTGAGGGACTTCTACAAAATAACTGAACTAGATTTTTCAGAAACAATGACAGGAAAGACCAAAGTAGTCTGAAGAATTGTTTGAGATTAAAGGAAACCAAAGACACATAAGTGCAATAATGATCCTGGATTGGATCCTGCATTGGAAAAACCACAGTTGCTTTAAAGGACATTATTAAGCCAATTGGCAAAATGTGAAAATGGATAGTATATGAGATAATATACTGTATCAGTGTTAAATTTTCTGAATTTAGTAAGTGTATGTGATTGTGCAAGAGAATCCCTTGTTCTTAGGAAATATATGCTAGGATATTCAGGGGTGAAGGGTCAGGATATCTGCAATTTACTCTCGAATGGTTCAGAAAAAATTAATGTACCGTAGATATTGTTTCATTCCCTGGGTGTCTTTTTGTCTTGTTGCCACCGTCTGGCCAATTATCTCCCAGAGTTTCCCAATTCAAGTTCCTGCCAGAGAGAATGTGCTCAGGAAGGATCCTCTCCATCAACCCTCATTAGGCAGAGCACTTTGTAGGAGGAAACTTCATAGGTATCTGACAAGCCTCTGGATTAGCTGCCTGGGGTCAGGTGCCCGTTCTTTGTTCAGTCAGCCTTGGCCAAGGATGAGTCATGTGGTTCATAACATGGCTGCCACTACTGCTTCAGCAATGGGGCTGTGGGCAAGAGGGTCTCCTCAGAAGGGTTTGGCAGGCCTCAGGCTCAGGCAGGCCAGTATATCCTGTATCTCCAGTTGCACAGAGGTAACCCCAGAGATACCTGAAGACCTCCTGACATAACTTTATACCTCATTCTCACCCTCAGTCTTTCAACAAATATTAGAGGTACCTGCATTGGGCCAGGTTTTGTGTTAGATCCTACGGGGCATAGAAGTGACCCAGTTCCTACCCTCAGGAGCTCTGACTCAAATTGGAGAGGCATGAATTATGCAGAGAACTGGAGTGCAGAGTTGAATTGCTACCAACAAACCGAAGGCAGTCAATGCTAGTTGAGGCCTGGGCTCCACACCTTAGGAACACAGAGATGGGGAGTCCAAATGGCCCACTGAACAGGGGCATTGGCTATGGCTCACAAGAGGGAAAAGGACTCTCAGATAAGGACCCTGTTGCTGGAAGAGTGTCCTGTGCCATCCCTGCAGTCTCTGTTTTCTCTTTGCACAGCCTGACCCAGCAGGACGGGATATCTCCATCCGCCCTCTCCTGGAGCACTGTGAGAACACCCACATGACCATCTGGCTTGGCATCGTCTATGCCTACAAGGGACTTCTCATGGTAGGTGCAGAGCAGGAGATGGAGTTGGGGGGGACACTTCTCTGTTGGGCCTCTGTCTCCCAGGGGCCTCCATCAATGTAAAAATAAACAGAGCCTCCATGACTAAGCAGTTACTCTCTGTGTACTCAGTGCCTGCCGCATGCTATCTCAGTTCCTGCAGCAACCCTATGAGATAGGTACAAGTAACATCCTTATTTCACTGATGACACTGAGGCTTGGTGTCTTGCCCAAGGTCACCCAGCTGGTAAGCGGCAGAGTCAAGATCTTAACCAGAGAGTAACCCAAAAACTTGTGGCTGTGCCTCACAGCTGTCACTGCACCGCTCCCGGGAAGAGCAGTCTGCTGACATCCAGTGCATGTTCATTTCCAGCATTTCAGCGGATCCTCTCTTAAGCCCATGGGAGGTGGGCGGGATCATCCCCATTTAATAGATGAGGAGGGTAAGCCTCGGAGAGGCTGAATGATTTGCCAAAAGCTACCTAGTAACCTCTAAACTCCAAACCCAGCACTCTTTCCACTTGACTCATCTTTTAAAATCAAAGATCATGCTAGGTGCTATGGCTCATGCTTGCAATCCCAGCACTTTGAGAGGCCAAGGTGGGTGGGTCACCTGAGGTCAGGAGTTCGAGACCAGCCTGGCCAGCATGGTGAAACCCCATCTCTACTAAAAATACAAAATTAGCTGGGTGTGGTTGCGGGCGCCTGTAATCCCAGTTACTCCGGAGGCTGAGGCAGGAGAATCACTTGAACCCGGGAGGCAGAGGTTGCAGTGAGCTGAGATCAGGCCATTTGCACTCCAGCCTAGGCAACAAGAGTGAAACTCCATCTCAAAAAAAAAAAAAAAAAATCAAAGATCACATACGGAGCCACGTTGTGATATGCCAACATGAGGGAGAACTTGAAAGGTCAGCCCCACCGTGTTTCAGCCCAGGTTGATCCTTGAATCTTCTCTCCTATATCCTATATAAACCATGCTTCCACTTAAAGCCCTCCAGTGACATGAAGCTGGTCACTGCACCATCCTCAGATCTTTCCACAGGGAGGTTAAGCCACCCTTCACCCCTGTGTGACCCCACTTAGAGGCCAAAAATGAAGCCTTCTCCAAAAGTCAAATAAACTGGAACCTCTCGTGCTGCTCAAATGCATTCTTACCTGTTGCCTCATCAGAGAAGTGTTAGTGATTGATCCCGTGTCCTTTGAGAGGCCATGCCAGAAGGGCATGTATGAGGACCCTAGGCGAAGATTGGTCCCCACTTCATACCAGTTGACACCCTTTTATGGTTTTCCATAGAAGTTTTTTGAGCTCCCATGCAAGCAACAGGACCACTGGGTTGCAATCTGAGCACAAGGTAATGACCCTGGGGGTGTCCACAGGAGGTACCCAATATAGAAATAGGAACTTGAGGACTGGCCAAAGTTCCTGGGTTTGGACAAGGACACATTCATAGTCACCAGAAGCTTGGAAGAGCTGTCAGCAATGGGTGGCACAGACCTGAGGGCAGAACTGTCAGCCCCAAGCAAAGTTGCTGGAAGGCAGACTCCATCTCCATGTAAAGATGGATTCTTATAACAGGGAGCACTGTCCACAGATGCCATGGAGCCCCTAAGAAGGACAAGCTCCCTGTCATGGGAAAGCATGTCGTGTCAATGACCTGCACTTCCCCCGGCCCTGGTTGAACAAAGAGTGAATCTAGACACTCTCCATGATCCTTCCAGCCTTGATGTTCCTTGATTCTGAGACTCATTCTGTGAAATTAGATTATGGTGACTCATATTGACATCTTTAAACTGGACTTATTTGTAATGTTTTGATCATTCATTATCTTCTCCCACCTACTTCCAAAGTGGTTGGAGATGAGAGATGACTGTATGTCTTCACATGAAGCTAACAGCTTCAGCCAGCTCATGTCAACAAAAGCTATATTTGATAGCGCAAATGCTTTACCATTTAGAATATGCAAGGAATGGTCCCCAGCCTCCTGGCCCTGAAGGTTTATGACTAAAATCCCACTGCCACCCCCCTACTCCTTCTATTTTAGAGCCACAGAATCTCAAGGCTGGGAGAAGCACACACAGCCCTTTAGGTCCACCCCACTGTCAAATGTTTTGGCCCCAAGCCCCAGCCCACCCTGAGCTTCCCCCAAAGCATTCATTCACTAACTGCTTCTATACCTCTAGTGATGGAGTGCTCACCCTCTTCAAAGGAGCCTGTGCCATTCATGGATAATGTGTTAGTTTCCTTTGGCTGTCATAACAAATTACCACAAAACAGTGGCTTACAAAACAAACAAATGTATTCTTTCCTACTTGTGGAGGCCAGAGGTCCAAAATCCAGACAGTTGTGTTCCCTCTGAAGGCTGCAGGGGAGCATCCTTCCTTGCCTCTCCCGGCACCTGATGGTTCCAGGCATGCCTTGGCTTGTGACTGCATGACTCTAGTTTCCACCTCCGTCTCCACGTGGCCTTCTCTTCTTCTCCCCAATGGTCTCCTTTATGTGTCCCTTATAAGGACACTTGTCATTGGATTTGGGGCCCTTCCAGATAATCCAGGATGATCTCATCTCAAGATCCTTCATTATATCTGCAAATACCCTTTTTCCAAATAAGGTCACATTCATGGTTTTCAGGAATTAAGATATGGGCCATCTTTTAGGGCCATCATTCAGCCCACAGATGGAGTGCTTTTCTAGAAAATTTTTCCTAATCCTCAGCAGAAATCTTCCTCAGTGTAACTTATACCCATGAACCCTCAATCTACTATTTGAGGGCCTAAAGAACAAGTTACTTTGTGTTTCCTCCTGACACTCTTTAGAGATTTACAGCCAACCACTAGGTCCCCAGGGTAGCCCACATTTATTGTGGGGACCCTCACAGTGGCTTGGTGGCCCATCGGTAGCATGGCTGATAGGAGGGCACACTGACTCTTGGTCAGAGAGCCCAAGTCCTGGCGCCCATCCAGCCCTGATATTCACGCTGTGGGACCCCAAGCAGGTCACCTCTCCTGGCCAAGCCTCTGCTTCTTCCTTTGCAAGATGGCACAGCTACCATGGGATCACAGTGGGTCGTGGGTAAAGGAACCAATATAGAACAGGCTTTCAATGGCTGTTGGTTTTCTTCTCTCACTCAGTATCTGGTTCCTGGGCTCCTGGTTCCCTATTTTATTTTATTTTATTTTTTTGAGACAGAGTCTCACTCACCCTGTCACCCAGGCTAGATTGAGTGCAGTGGCACAATCTCTGCTCACTGCAACCTCTGCCTCCTGGGTTCAAGCAATTCTCCTGCCTCAGCCTCCCAAGTAGCTGAAATTACAGGCATGCACCACCACGCTCAGCTAGTTTTTATATTTTTAGTAGTATTGGAGTTTCACCACATTGCCCAGGTTGGTCTCAAACTCGTGACCTCAGGTAATCCACCTATCTTGGCCTCTCAAAGTACTGGGATTATAGGTGTGAGCCACCGTGCCTGGCCTGGTTCCCCATTTTAAAAGGAATTTTTAAAAAGGAATAAATCAGGCTGTGAGATAACACATTTAGAGAAAGGATAAAGGACAAGGGAGAGGAAAATAATCATGGTTGTATAAAATAAGATCAATTACAAATAGCTTTGAACTTACCTTGGTGCAGAACATTTCAGTCTACAGAGTGCTTTGACATCCATCCTCCCATTTCATCCACACAGAAACCCTGTGACATTGGTATTATTATTATTATTATTCCCCCCAGTCCACAGACGTTGAAAGTGAGGTCCTGAGAGGTGAAGTGACTTGCCCAGGTCACCCAGCCAACGGATGGCAGAGTAGTTTCCATATCCCCCGGCCTTGTGTCCAGCCCCGCTTCTACCACACAGCACTATGCGGCCATCAAATCTCTAAACACAGGTCCTCGGTGTGACGTTAAATGGTTCATGCAGCTATCAGACGCCTGAAGCTGTCCTGCTGAAGCCACACGGAAGAGGTGCCTTTGTGAGAAGGCCCCTTGGAGGGCCGCACTAAAGCAGAGGTTCCTGTACCAGCAAACTATCTTGGCTCTTCCTCCTGCCCGCCACACCACCATTCTGCCCTACACCCACCTGCACTGTCCCTGCAGCCCACCCTCCCCTTAGACCACCCATAAGGGTTAAACCCTCGACACCCTGCTTCAGATCACAGCTGGCCTCTACTCTGTCCATTTCTGTCGAGACATCTATTGGTTACGAGTAGAGCTACAAGTCACAGAAAAACCCAAAATAATAATGGTTGAAGAGACAGGAAATGTTCCTCTCAGGTAAACCTAGTCCAGAAGTAAGCAATCTAGGGCTGGGGTAAGGCTCCCAGAATCTCAGCTCTTTGTATCTTGCAGCCCCCACATCATCATTACACAGGTTCCACATCAGAGCCTTGTGATCTAAGACAGATGCTGAAGCTCCACCCATCACACTCCACTCCAGCTGTTAGGAAGGAGGAAAAGCAACACCTCTTCCCTTTAAAGACGCTTCCCAGAACATGTGCACACCACTGCTATTTACAGGCATTGTCAGAAGCTAGTAACACACCACGCCTAGCCTCTAGGGCAGCTGGAAAATGTAGTCTCTATTCTGGGCGTCCATGTGCACTTGAGGACAATAGAAGTCTCAGACACAAGGGATCTGCTTAGTTTAATAGAAAAAAGACTGGAGTGAATTTCTAAAAACACAGCCCATTTTTGCTACCATATTGCTGTGTGACCTTGGGCAGACCTCTTCACCCCTTCTGGGCCTTAGTATTCCCTAGAGAGTGAGGAAGAAGGTTGAGATCTTATCTGAAGTCCCCTTCCACAGTGGCCTCGGGCAGGTCTGTGCATGAACCAGTCATAGGGGTGCAGGAGAACTGGACAGCTGTCACATCCCCAATCTGCATTTGCTTGGCGGGACTCAACTCAGCAGGGTCACAAGTGGAGACAGATGGTGACATCCAGAAGACCTGGCTGACAGCAAGGCCCCCCACCCTCCCTCCCTGCAGCCCACCTCCTGAGTAACCCTCCACTCCACAGCTTCTCAGAGCAGCGGGTGTGTGCCGCCCCTTGGTAACGATCATCTCCCCTTTCTGTTCACCATTTCAGTTGTTCGGTTGTTTCTTAGCTTGGGAGACCCGCAACGTCAGCATCCCTGCACTCAACGACAGCAAGTACATTGGGATGAGCGTCTACAACGTGGGGATCATGTGCATCATCGGGGCCGCTGTCTCCTTCCTTACCCGGGACCAGCCCAACGTGCAGTTCTGCATCGTGGCTCTGGTCATCATCTTCTGCAGCACCATCACCCTCTGCCTGGTGTTTGTGCCGAAGGTACGGGTGCTGGCCCCACCACCTGGCCTCTGCCCTCCGACTCCAGCACAGGGGCATTGCTGGCTTTTCTCCATTCTCTAAAAGGTTTACCCATTCCTTTTTTATGATGAAGACAATTCACATTATAGAAAGTTCAGAAAATGCAGAGGAATAAAGGCCAGGTTTCTCAGAAATCTCCCTTTGTCCCACCACCCAAAAATAATCACTGGTCATGTTTTGTTGGGGTGTTCTTTACTGTTAATGTTTTTGATGTGTTTCCTTCCAGCCTTTTTCTTAATAGCTAGGAGATAATGCTTTTTTTGTTTGTTTTTTTGTTTGTTTTCTCACTCTGCCACCCAGGCTGGAGTGCAGTGATGCAGTCTCGGCCTACTGCAACCTCAACCTCGCGGGATCAAATGATTCTCTTGCCTCAGCCTTCCAAGTAGCTGGGACCACAGGCATCACCACCACGCTGAGCTAATTTTTTAATTTTTTTATAGAGACGGGGTCTCCCTGTGTTGCCCAAGCTGGTCTTGGACTCCTGGGCTCAAGCAATCCTCTGGCCTTGGCCTCCCAAAGTGCTGAGATTACAGGCATAAGCCACCTCGCCAAAAAAAAATCACCGTTTTTAGTAGCCACTTACGTGTTCCATTATTTGAAGGGCTGACCTTCAGGACCACCTTGAAGAGAGATTTTTTTTTTTTTTTTTTTTTTTTTTTTTTTTTTTTTTTTTTTTTTTTTTTTTTTTTTTTTTTTTTTTTTTTTTTTTTTTTTTTTTTTTTTTTTTTTTTTTTTTTTTTTTTTTTTCTTCTTCTTCTTCTTCTTCTTCTTTTTTATTTATTTATTTATTTATTTTGAGACACAGTTTCGCTCTTGTTGCTGAGGCTGGATTGTAATGGCACATTCTTGACTCATTGCAACCTCCACCTCCCAGGTTCAAGCAATTCTCCTGCCTCAGCCTCCTGAGTAGCTGGGATTACAGGTGCATGCCACCACACCCAGCTAAATTTGTATTTTTAGTAGAGACAGGGTTTCACCATGTTGGCCAGGCTGGTCTGGAACTCCTGACCTCAGGTGATCCACCCTCCTCGGCCTCCCAAAGTGCTGGGATTACATGCATGAGCCACAGCACCCGACAGAGAGATTTTTCAAATATCATCCTACCTCGCAGTGGGCGGGTGAGCCAGAGGCCTTTCTTCTCAGGAGCCCCTGCAGTAGGGTGATCTGTGTCGAGGGAAGCCTGACCTCAGTGGGTCTCAAAAGTAAAGGAAGGTGGCTGGGTGTAGTGGCTCGTGCCTGTAATCCCAGCACTTTGGGAAACCAAGGCAGGAGGATCACTTGAGGCCAGGAGTTCAAGACCAGCCTGAGCAACATGGTGACACCCCCTCTCTACTAAAAATACAAAACAAAATAGCCAGGTGTGGTGGTGCGCACCTGTAGTCCCGGCTACTCAGGAGGCTGAAGTAGGAAGATCACTTGAGCCTGGAGGAGCAGAGGTTGTGGTGAGCTGAGATTGTGCCACTGCACTCTAGCCTTGGTGACAGAGTGAGACCCTTTACCACCCCCCCCAAAAAGGAAAGAACAGGACACAGAGTTACAAAGCTGGGCGGGGGTTACTGACCCAAGTGGGAGGCATCTGCCTCAGAACAGGGGAGAGGAAAGATCACCTGGGTCCATTTCAGCAAACAGGCTACCCATGGTGCCTCCATCCTCCTGGGCATGCAGTCAGCCCCCAGGCACTGTGAGCTCTGCACTGGAACACCTCTGGTGTACACACATTAGTCGTTCACACCCGCCCAGACTCCAGGGCAACGCCATGACTTCCCTGCCGGCACTCTGACATTCTTTCCATCCTGTAAAAGAGGCCCAATGATCTCTAAGCCAAGCTTCAGTTGTGGCACTCTGCTCCGTCACACTCAATAGCTCCTCATTGTCCTCCTGGCTCTAGGATCAAGTTTCTGATGTTGGGCTGGCTCTCAGTACCCTCGGGTCTCCTCTAGTCTCCCCAGAGAACCCTGTCCACCACCCAACCTGCCCTTCCCCTGCCGTTTCCCCCAGGCTTCCCTGCATTGGCAGACGCCAGTTCTTCCCCTGGAGTTCCCTTCCCCCCACCATCCCTCCAGACTGTCCTCAGAGCCCAGCAGGCCATGGCACTGTGGTGGGCTGTCCCTGATACCCGCTGGCCTGGTGAAGATTGAGTCCTTCCTTCATCCCCAGCCCACGCCTCTGGACCATGAGGTCACAGTGAGCAGGGGCCATGGGTCACTCCACTCCTGCTTTCCAGAGCTGAGCCCAGAGCCTGCCTCGATCAGAGATGTTTCTAGAATAAGCTGGTAAGATCAGGGTCAAGTGGCAACTTTTGTTTTCTATATAAAATGTCTTTGGATGCAGCTAAGTGATGCCCAGACTCCTAACTCACGGAAACTGAGATAATAACCATGTGTTGTTTTAAGCTGCTGAAAAACAAGCTTTTGTCAATGACACAGCTTGTTACCAGCCTGCTTCTAGAACTCATCAATGGTTTAACAAACAGGCCTTTGCTCTCCTCTATCTCTTTGTTGTCACAGCTGTTGCCCTTGGGGCTTATTTTTTCCACAAGGAGCAAGGCCTAAGGCAACTTGCTAGGCAGCTGGAGCGAGGCCTCAGGGGCCCTGGTTGGGACGCAGGTGGCATCAGGGTCAGGAGACTAGACTCTTAGTGACCAGGAAGGACACAGAGGCATGGTGAGGGGAAGGGGCCTGCCCAACGTCACGTACAAGCAAGTGGCAGAGTCTGGCCTGAGCCTAGGTCTCCTGACTTCCAGCCTGTGGCCTTCCTGGGGCCTCTTGTCGCCTCCAGAGCAGGACTTGCTGGGAGAGTCTGCCATGTGGGATGGGAGGAAGGACCCAGGGCTCTCTCTTCAACCCTGCCCCCACCTTTGTCCTTTCAGCTCATCACCCTGCGAACAAACCCAGATGCAGCAACGCAGAACAGGCGATTCCAGTTCACTCAGAATCAGAAGAAAGAAGATTCTAAAACGTCCACCTCGGTCACCAGTGTGAACCAAGCCAGCACATCCCGCCTGGAGGGCCTACAGTCAGAAAACCATCGCCTGCGAATGAAGATCACAGAGGTACCTCCCTCCGCATCTAGTAGCTGGGCCCCGTCTGCCACTGAAGCCCCTCTGACCCCGTGCAGGGACTCTCAGGCTCCTCTAGACCATCCCTGCAGCATGACCGGGCAGTGTCATCAGCTGCAGTTACAGCTGCGAGAGCCAGGGGTGACATAAGCCGCACAGAGGCGTTTGTCAGAATCCGACATGAGCTCATTGGCCACCTCGCCCAGGCTCTTGGAGGCCAGCACCACCTGATTCAAGCCATCCCCAGACAGAAAGGAACTCAGAGAGATTTGTGAGCTTCCGGATTATTGTAGCTTCCTACGTTAGTGTCTCTTTGGTGTCTCTCTTTGTGTCTCTCTCCCTCTCAGTTTTTCACTCTCCCAGCACAACCCAGCAACCACCACATCTATATGATGTACAAGAGAAGAGAAAGTGAAAAGAAACTTTTCAAGACAGAGTGCCGCAGACCTCGCCTTTGTCCTAAGGGTTCTCAACTGGTTCTTGAATATTCCAGAGAGACCATAGCCAGATTGCCTTGTGCCCAAGCCTTGTAGACCAGGGAAGGGAAAACAAATTACCTCCCCCCCTCTACCCCTCCCTTTGGGTTGGAGGTATGCCTGGACCCATGCTCTGCAGGCTGTGTATTGCTTTAATAGAGGAATTCTGATTAGGGAGGGGGACAGGAAAGGGACCAAGGAAAGTACATTGGTTATGATGCTGGCTAAACAAGGCCCCAAAATAAAGTGGCCCAAAGAAAATATGTTTATTTCCCTTTTACCTAATGGCCATGAAGAGAGAGGTAATCGGGTGGGGCAGCTCTGCTCCCCAAGGTCATTGCTGGGCTTGGTTCCTGCCCTCTGGTTTCCCCAACTCTCTAGGCTGTTCTCCTCATTCATAGTGGGAGAGCTGGGTGGACGGCATGTCTGGTTCACAGTGTCAGGAGGGGAAGAGATAGAAAGTCCACATGAGGGACTGCCTCTTAAGCAGTAACACCAAAAATTGTGCACATTTTGGTTCTGCCCTAGTCACATCAGCAAAAACTGACAAGAGCACACCCAGTGACAGAGAAGGCTGGGAAACATCATCTCTAGCTGGACAGCTGCAAGGAAGAAGTGAGACATACGGTTGCCAGATTAGATACAGGATGCCCAGTTAAATTCAAACTTCAGTTCAACAACCAGTCATATTTTCAGTAAAAGTATAGCCCGAATAATACTGGGATATAATTATACTGAAAAAGAACTCGTTATCCGAAACTCAAATTTGACTGGACATTCTGGGTTTTTATTTGCTAGATCTGGCAGCCCTTTGGGGGGCTCACAGAATTCTGCCACAGAGAGCCACCACACAGTTGTCTGCGCACCTAAAGATGACTGCTTTAGGATGGGGCAACCCACCAGCAGCTGCCAGAGCAAACTAAGAAGGGTTTCTGTCCCCCAAAGCCTATTACGGGCTGTTTCCCTATCAGGCCTCTCATGATGAGCACTACCACGTCACTGCGCATTTTGCTTCTACTTATACACTTCAGCATGGAAGAGTTCACTCACGTTAGGAAACCCAAGCCACTGTTTAAAACTCTAAATTGTTGCGTTATTTTTCCTGGAAATGAATCACAATCTGGCCTCCTGTTGTCCCCACCCTTTGATCCTACTCCTGCCATTTAAGTCACATAGAAAAGAGGATCTCTCTCCCTCCTCCTCCACATGAAAACGTATTAAACAATTTCATGGCTGTATTCCTGACATCAGAACAGCATCCGATAATTTATCAGATCTCCTCCCTTATACTACAGCAGGATGCTGTTTGGAAAAATCCTCTAACCATGTTTTTCCTGTGCTCTTGCACCAATACAACAGTCAACACAGAAGACTTCTGTGACCAAATGCACCCGCTGGGCGCCTCCGGTTCAATTCCAATACTACGGATCTAGAGATAGCTTCAGATCCCACAGGTTGAGGGCTCAGTCCCCAAGGCTCCCCCTGACCCCCACCCCACCCTCAGATACCAGCCACAAGTCAGACCTCTGGAACTTCTGACCAACCAGCTTCAAGTTGGGACTCCCAGGATCCCACTTTGGGTTGAATTACTTTGCTAGAGGGGCTCCCGGAACCCAGGGAAACACATTTACCAGCTTATTACCAAGGACACGAATGAAAAGATGCACAGAGCAAGGGATGGGTGAAAGGGTGTGGAGCTTCCCTGCCTCCCTGGGCCCCACGCTCCAGGAATCTTCACGTGTTCAGCTACCCGGAAGCTCTTCATACCCTGTTCTTTTGAGTTTTTATGCAGGCTTCATTACACGAGGCATGATTGACAACTGTGTAGAAATGTGATTGGACAAAAACGCATGATCTAAACCCAGCAAGGTCTGTCTGTTCAGACTTTTCTTGGCCTCTCTGTAGCATTCTTTCCTCCAGGGTATGGGCAGGACTCTCTCTGTGATAAAGGTCTTTTGACCTACAATCAGATTAGAGTCCTGCCTTGAGCAGGTGAGAAAGGACAGGAGAAGGTCAGAGAGCATGATTCTGTTTCATGAGGCCTGCTCCTGAGGCCTAAAATGCCCCAACATTACAACAAAAGACTGTTACAAGAGATACAGGAGCCAGGAATCATGGATGAAAGCCATTATATGTATACAGATATGGTAATATCACAGATGTTCACCACCCACCCCGACTACCACCCCCCACAACTACCAACACTCATATTGCCCAGGTTTCTCTGGGGCTGAATTGCCCCAGGACTTGCACCTGATTTTTATATAACCTGGGAATGGGCCAGGTGCCGTGGCTCACACCTGTAATCCCAATGCTTTGGGAAGCCAAAGTGGGAGGATCGCTTGAGCCCAGGAGTTCAAGACCGGCCTGGGCAACATAGAGAAACCTTGTCTCTAAAAATAAAAACGTGGGGATGACTGGGACCCATCCTGATTAACTCCTCTGAGTGAGTCCCTGCAAGTCAGGGTCTCCGTGATAGCGTGAGGCTCAGAGCTTGCGAGCCCTGCATGTCTGTCCTCCCCACTGTGGGTCCTATTAAGTATCAATAATAGTAATTATAAGTCCAGGCACAGTAGCTCATGCCTGTAAACCCAGCACTTTGGGAGGCCAAAGTGGGAGGATTGCTTGAGCTCAGGAGTTCAAGACCGGCCTGAGGAACATAGAGAGACCCCATCTCTACCAAAAAAAAAAAATAGCCAGGCGTGGCGGCCTGCACCTGTAGTCCCAGCTACTCGGGAGGGTGAGGTGGGAGGATGGCTTGAGCCTAGGAGGTCAAGGCTACAGTAAACTGTAATTGCACCACTGCACTCTGATCTGTGTGACAGAGTGAGACCCTGTAATAATAGTAATACTATTAGAGTAGCAGGTTGCCCTTATTATGTGTCAGGCACTGGGCTAAACCTTCCATGTATTATCTCGTTTAATCTTCACAACCTCCCCCTGAAGTAGGTACTATTATTACCCCATTCTACAGAAAAAGAAATAGAGACTGGGTTCTCACAAGCCGGGAGAACCTCACTGTAAGTAAGGGGCAGCCTTGGGTTTGCATGAGGCCTGCGCAGAGCCTGAGCTCTTACGCTCTCCCTGCCCTACCTCCCTGGGCTTGCTTGTCTGCTTCATCAAGGCCCAAGCCTACACTGAACACATAATTGCAAAGCCCAGGTCCCTGTCATCATAGCTTCTCCTTGAACAAAGAGCTGTCAGGGTCCTTCTGCCTCTCCATACCAAGATGCAATAACCCCTCTGATTCTCAGGGCACTCCTGAATACAGGTAAAGGCCCAGCCCTGTGACCTACCTTTTAGCCCTAGTGGCCTAGCTACCAGGGCTGGGCCAGGGACCCTGACTCAACTGGAACCTTTGTCTTCTAGCTGGATAAAGATTTGGAAGAGGTCACCATGCAGCTGCAGGACACACCAGAAAAGACCACCTACATTAAACAGAACCACTACCAAGAGCTCAATGACATCCTCAACCTGGGAAACTTCACTGAGAGCACAGGTAAGAGAGCCAAGGCCCCAGAATGTGGTAGGGACCTTGGTTTCAAACACCAGCTGTTCATCTTCCATTTTTTAGGGGAAGAAACTGAGGTTCAAACAGGGCACGGGACTCAGACACGCAGAGCTGGCACACCTGGAACCTCTGTCTGCTGACCACAGTTCACTGTCTGCTTTGAGCCCCACCCTGCCTAGGCCTGGGGCTTCGATTTCCCATCCCTCGGCTTCCAGCTCCACACCTACACACTGGGGCCAACATTCCCAGTGTCCTGACTGGGGGCAGACACATTTTGTTTTCCCTTTTGTTCTTAGTGAATAGTTTACCCTTTCTTCCCTGAACAGTATTTCACGGTTTCAAATATACCTCATCAATGTGCAAGAAAAGAATGGTCAGTTAGTTAGGATAGGATGCTCAATCTCACCACCCACTTGGGAATTGCAAGCTACAATAACACAAACCTGCCAGGCGCAATGGCTCACACCTGTAATCCCGGCATATTGGGAGGCCAAGGCTAGAGAATCGCTTGAGTCCAGGAATTTTAGATCAGCCTGGACAACATAGCAAGACCCCATCTCTACAAAAATAAATTTTAAAAAACACACACACACAAAAAAATTTTTGCCTACCTTTTGGAAAAAATTTAAAAGGTTACCAGAATGGGTAAGAGTATTTGGAAATGAGCATTCTCCTGCGATGCATTAGAAGTCAGCCTGGCACTGTCTAAATGCTCCATGTTAAACCTCTTGACCTAGCAGTTCTACTAGCAGGAACCTGCCCCTCGCAAATACTCCCAGGTGTGCAGAGAAGAACACAGAGATGTTCCTCACAATGTTGTCTGTAGGTGAGAAAAACTGGAATTAACTTAAATGTTCATTATTTGGGGGTGGTTTCATTAATTAAGATATAGCCAAACAGGGTACATTTTATAGCTATTAAAAAGTGAGGTGAGTCTATTTGTGCCGATATGGAAACATCTCCAGGTGAAAAAAGCAAGATGAAAGCCAACATTATGATTATGGGACACACAAATGCATATACGTGTGTGTGAATGCATTTTTTAAAAGGTTTAGAAAAACAAACACCAAATTACTAACAGTATTGACTCGTGTGAAAAGAAATGGTATTGTGGAAAGTGAGTGAGAAGGGACTATTTTACATTACCCTTTTTTTTTTTATTTTTTATCTTTTTTAAGATGGAGTCTCACTCTGTCGCCCAGGCTGGAGTGCAGTGGCATGATCTCAGCTCACTGCAACCTCTGCCTCCCAGGTTCAAGCAATTCTCCTGCATCAGCCTCCTGAGTAGCTGGGATGACAGGTGCCCACCACCACACCCAGCTAATGTTTGTACTTTTTTTTTTTTTTATAGAGACAGGGTTTCACCATGTTGGCCAGGCTGGTCTCAAACTCCTGACCTCAAGTGATTTGCCCGCCTCAGCCTCCCAAAGTGCTGGGATTACAGGCATTAGCCACAACACCCGGCCACATTACCTTTTTTATGTTTCTCTATGGCTTGGTTTTTTCCATTAGCATGTATTCATCAATTTGTTATAACATTAGTTTAAATCAATGAAAAATCTTTGTTTCTTTTAATTTACTTATTTATTTATTTATTTATTTATTTATTTATTTATTGAGACGGAGTTTCGCTCTTGTTGCCCAGGCTGGAGGGCAATGGCACAATCTCGGCTCACTGCAACCTCTGCCTCCCAAGTTCAAGCGATTCTCCTGCCTCAGCCTCCCAAGTAGCTGGGATTACAGGTGCCTGCCACTGCACTCAGCTAATTTTTTTGTACTTTTAGTAGAGATGGGGTTTCACCATGTTGGCCAGGCTGGTCTCAAACTCCTGACCTCAGGTGATCCACCCACCTCAGCCTCCCAAAGTGCTGGGATTACAGGCATGAACCACCATGCCCGGCCTTTTATTCTTATTATATAAGTAATAAGTGGTCTTATTACAGTAGCAATATTCTGTAATTAATATTATGTAACATGGTTATTACAAAAATGTTTAAATTGAGATAATAAAGAAATTACAAGAATAAAAATTACTTCTAATAACTTTAGTATCTGGTAAAAGTGGGAATTTTAAATTTGTGGGAGAAAAGGAATTATTCAATAAATTTCATTGGGATAAATGGGTAGGCATCTGGAGGAGAATAAGGTAGGTCCTAAACTCACACCTACACAAAAATTAATTCTGATGAATAAAAGATTTAAATATAAAAAGTGAAAACATGAAAGTACTAGAAGAAACCAAAGTAAAATTTAAAAAAAAATCTCAGAGAGAGGAGGACCTGTCTCAGTTTGATGCAAAACAGAAATCACAAAAGGAAAGGTTGATAAATTTAGGTACAAAAAGCATTTCTTTCATAATGCAAAAGCCATGATAAGTATAGCCAAAAAATCAAACAAAGCCAAAAATTAACTCAGATAACAAGCTTATGCCCTTATATATAAGGAGAAATGATATGCAGTAATACAAAAAGTATGTATCATTATATACCAATTAGTAAGAAAAAGACCAACATCTCAAAAGAAAAATGAGCAAAAGAGAGTTCTCATAAAAGGAACTGGAAATCGTTCTTACACTTATGAAAAGATGATCAATCTCATTCTTTATTAAAGGAATGCAAATTAAATCTGCAATGAGATACCATTTTTGCCTCAAAGACTGGCACAGATCAGAGATCAAAAAGCTGCTCAGAGTGCCAGGAAACAGGTTATGAGAGAGGCAGTCTCAAATGTTGCTGGTTGAAACAGAAATCATTCCGACCCAGCAATCCCACTTTTGGGATTTATTCTCCATGCCTTAGTCTGTTTGTGCTGCTATAACGCAATACTGCAGACTTGGTAATTTATAAATAACAGAAATGTATTTCTTACAGTTCTGGAGGCTGGGGAGTCCTAAATCTAGGTGCCAGTAGGTTCAGTGTCTGGGGAGGGTCCGGCCTCCACTTCTGAGATGGCACCTGAATTGCTGCATCCTCTGGAGGGGAGGAACTCTGCATCTTCACGCGCTAGAAGGAGCGGAGGAAGGGGCAAACCCACTTTCTCAAGCCCTTTTATAAAGGCCCTAACCTCATCCATGCGGGCTCCGCCTTCACAACTTAATTACCTCCTAAAGGCCCCACTTCTTAACACTATCACATTCTTCATTCAGTTTCAACACATGAATTTGGGGGGACACGTTCAGACCATAGCAGTATGATATACAGTCGATTCTGCTGATTTACAGTAGCGGTAGCTGTGTTCTTTCTGTAAAGCCTCCATCAACAGTGGATTGTGAATACTGAACCATTGCTCCTATACAGGATTAGGTCCCTGGGAGTCTCTCACAGGCTGACATCACAAGCTGACATTTTTGTCCACCAATCAATATATAATTCTGTTGTATGCGTATTTCTGTTTAAAGACATCTTATTTAGGCTGGGCGCAGTGACTCAAGCCTGTAATCCCAGCATTTTGGGAGGCCGAGGTGGGCGGATCACGAGGTCAAGAGATTGAGACCATCCTGGCCAACATGGTGAAACCCCGTCTCTACTAAAAATACAAAAATTAACTGGGTATGATAGCACGTGCCTGTAGTCCCAGCTACTCGGGAGGCTGAGGCAGGAGAATCGCATGAACCCGGGAGGTGGAGGTTGCAGTGAGCCGAGATCACACCACGGCACTCCACCTGGAGACAGAGTGAGATTCCGTCTCAAAAAAAAAAAAGACATCTTTTTAAATATATATGAGTTAATTAGCATTGCACTCATGGCCAACAGCACTATAGCTCATGCCTGATGGAAGCTTATCTAACGCATGTATTTTCTCTCCATAAGGCACATCATAGCCCTCTTGTGCTTAGGGACACTAGCCAGCACTTCGGCGCTGTGCTTGGGGGCCATTTTCAACAGCAAACTCACCAACACACAGCACAAAATGTGAAAAACATGTCACTAAATAAACCTCCAGGAAGATACTTATTTACAATATAAGAGCTAAGCGCTAAGGCAGTGCATCACCTTGTTCAACCTCAGCTGGGAACGCGTGTATCAGGCAACTCACATTTTCCCACACTGTGCATGTCAGCAAATGACCACAAAAGCATTAAAATATTGATTTGGGGTTTACAGATAAATTTAAGTGAGAAGAGGAGGTCACAAATACAAAATTCATGAATAATGAGGAGCAGCTGTACTCACGTAGATGCAAAATGACATACATATAAGGTTGCCCACTGAAGCAAAAACAAAGACACCAGTGCTCCCTTCCAGATCACATGAATCCAAATCTCGGGTGGGAACCTGATTTTTATATTTCTTTAAATCTCCTTGTATGGTCCTGAAGCACAAAGAGGGTTGAGAGAATTTAAATCACCATGTTTTGTGGCTACACAATATTATTTTGAATGGAGATCCTATAACTTATGTAACTAATCCATTATTACCAGACAAATTCAGATTAGTTCCAACATTTTAATATTATAAATGATACTCAGTTTGAGGCTGGGCACAGTGGTTCACACCTATAATCCTAGCACTTTGGGAGGCTGAGGCAGGTGGATCACCTGAGGTCAGGAGTTCGAGACCACCCTAACCAATATGGTGAAACCCCGTCCCTACTAAAAATACAAAAAATTAGGTGGGCATGGTGGCATGCACCTGTAGTCCTAGCTGCTCAGGGCTGAGACAGGAGAATTGTTTAATCCTGGGAGGTGGAGTTTGCAGTGAGCCAAGATAATGCCACTGGTGGCACGATTCTGAGTGACAGAGTGAGACTCCATCTAAAAAAAAAAAAAAAAAAGATGCCAAGGTTGAACATCTTGTATATATCTTTGCATAGATCCTTAATTATTTCCTTAGGATAATTTCAAGAAGTAGAAATTCCGGGTAAAAAATAGGTCCTTTTATGGTGTTTGACACAGATCAACAGTGCCCACCAGTAAGATTATGTCCATTTATTCTCCCACCAGCAGTTTACTGACTTCTTTCTCTTTGCAGTCTTTGCTGCTCTATGAAAAATACACCTTGGAGGTTTTTTCTTTGTCATTACATCCCTATGTGCCCATGGAAAAGAATGTTAGAACCTCTTGTTTCTAAGTTATGTTTCCTACATTAGTCGACTTGATTTTGCCCCTTTTGTTCTTTGAGAGGAGAGCGCGGGGCATGCCACACAAATCCCCAGCACATTGCTTCCATCCCTGACTGCTGACTGCTGGAGGCTTCTCATCTCACCGCCCGGGTCCCGGGAGAGCCGCTACACAGACCTCAGCTTAGAGAACACGGGGGGATAATAGGCTCTTTTGCATTCTCTCTCCTGGGGTATCATCCTACAAAAAGTTGCATTGTTGATTTTTAAAAACTAAGTTAACAGAACGTGTTGTGGTATTGTTTTGCATTCAGATGGAGGAAAGGCCATTTTAAAAAATCACCTCGATCAAAATCCCCAGCTACAGTGGAACACAACAGAGCCCTCTCGAACATGCAAAGATCCCATAGAAGATATAAACTCTCCAGAACAGTAAGTACCTTCTCCTTGAAGACTAAATACGTCACTCCCGCACAGGAGTTTGCAATTCGCACCATGTTCTCACATCCATTATTTTATTTGCTTTCCACAGCCATCCCATGATGAAGTCCAATTACAATGCTCTTTTTACAGATGAATAAACTAATATTCAAAAAGAGGAGGTGACTTGCCAAAGCTCACTCAATTGCTACATGCAGGAAATAGGACTTGAACTCACATCTGTCCAACATCAAATCCAATGTTCTCTACTGCAGCACACTGCCTTTGTTATGTGTAAAATTTAACCTTGCTCAATGCATTTACTTGACGGTTTACTGAGACCTCCTGTATGTCAGGCATAGGTGCTAGGGTTACAGCAGTGAAGAAAACGGACTAGAATTCCTATCTTCATGGAGCTTCCATTCTATCTAGAAGGGTGATAGCTTAATAAAAAAGCAAAATATGGCATGTCAAACAATAGGAGCTTTGGAGAAAAAGCAGAGAAGGGGGTCAGGGAGTGTCATTTTAAATAGGGTGGTCAGAGAAGACTCAATGAGATGGTCACATCTAAGCAAAGACCTGAACATCTCTGTTAGCTTTGTTCCCACAGGCAATTTTAGACCTTCCCATCTTATAGCACATCGGAAGCAGAAGTTAGAAATATAAACTTTGGGCTGGGCGCAGTGGCTCACGCCTGTAATCCCAGCACTTCGGGAGGCCGAGGTGGGTGGATCACCTGAGGTCAGGAGTTCGAGACCAGCCTGACCAACATGGAGAAACACCATCTCTACTAAAAGTACAAAAAAATTAGCCGGGCATGGTGGCCCACACTTGTAATCCCAGCTACTCGGGAGGCTGAGGCAGGAGAATCGCTTGAACCCAGGAGGCAGAGAGGTTGCAGTGAGCCGAGATCGAGCCATTGCACTCCAGCCTGGGCAACAAAAGTGAAACTCTGTCTCAAAAAAAAAAAAAAAAAAGAGAAAAGAAAAGAAATACAAACTTTGAAACTTGGCCTCTGGAAGTGACAAGCAATGAGCAACCAGCAAAAGCAGCCAAATCACCAATTGCAGCATCATTTGGGGCTCCTTAGTATTAGAGCTAATAGCCTATCAACCCAACTAGCTCCAAGGCCTGGCCAGCTTACAGTCCAGGACAGTGAGTGAGAGTTACATGGAATTTGTCAGCAGTTTGCCTAGCAGTTGCCTCCAGTACAGTGTAAGCACCTTGAGAGTAAGGTATGAGTCCTTCATGGGTCCCCTGCACCAAACACAGGTTCTGCCAGTGAGTAGGTTCTTGACAAGCATTTGTTGAATGAAGGAAAGGTGAACAGGATCCTCACAGACAGAAGAATGCTCTGACAACCACAGCACCCACCTTGCCTAGGCAGACAGCCCTGCCCTGGCTTCTTGGACAGGGTACCCTTTTCCCAAGTCAAAGTTTATACTTCCCTTTTTGTCCTGGACTTCTTGCCAGCATGATCTTACCTTAAGACACAGACTTCAGCTGACATTATACAGGTTCAACTTTAACTTCAGAATGAGGTCTCCAACACTGTAGTTCCATGCATACCTGTGAGGTGTCTCTTGGGAGGAGTCTTTCTGGAAAATGTGGGCAGCACTTCATCTGTACTCATCTATCTCAGAACCAACCAGTGACCTAAATGAACCCCAAGGGCACACCCAGTTGGCATAAGGCTGCCCCCATGAATTGATTTGCCTCCACCACAAAACAATGTGGTTGAACAGAAGCAGCAAGAATTCCAACTTCCTCGGTTCTGGTTTTGTTTCCATGGGGAAGTTCCCTGAACTCTGTACTCTTCCCCTCTTCTTTATAATGGGAACAGCAGTATTTCTTTTGCCTATTGGGTGTTTGTTAAGATCTGGGGTTTTTGTGCTTTGGTTTTTTGCACGGGAGTGGTCAGGGACTGGGAACACAAGAAGCCATAAAAACTCAGTCCCTTCTCTCAAGGAATGCGGTATGAAAGTTGCACCCATGGAGAGCTGTGCAAGAAGGCGGCTGAGCCAAGCAGAGAAGCAGTCACCTGGGCACATTTGCCACAAGCAGCCTTTTCAACAAAGTGACATGACAGTCATTAAGACCAGAAGAGTGTGGCAATGAGAAGGGAGTCAGAGGGCAGCTCCCTTTTCCCTTGCTGCTCCTCCATCATTTGCTAACCCACGCCCAGCTCCACCTTGCCTCCAGCTTTTGCTGGCTTCATTTCTGAGTATTTACCAAGGGTTCTGCTTAGCAGAGGAAGGGTTCTCTTAGCAGATAGTGAGCACAAACAAGGTGATATTTAAACTGGATCTTGAAGGAAACACAGTTCATGATGTCAGGAAGCAGAGAAAGAGTCTTCCAGGAGGGAAACAGCAGAAGAGCACCCAGAAGCAGGGTTTCCAGGGAAACTGGCTGCCAGAGGGCAGGGCTTACAGGTGGAGAGAATGGAAGATTCACCTGGAAACTTCTGATCCAGAGACAGAACTTAGGGAGCCCCAAATATCACATCAGTGTCCTTTTTGTCCCTTCCTTGGCTTCTTAGTGTTGGAACGATAACACTAGTTACCAAAGAAGCTGAAAGCCTGTGGGAATTGGCCCAGCAAGAAGAGATGCGGTCCTGGGCAAAGCAGAGGCAGAGGGGGAGAGAGGAAGGATAGAGCAGGCGAGAAGTCTTTCAGGGACGGAACTGAAAGCCCTGTGGAGGTTTGTAAGAGTAGAGAATGAGAAATGTCTGGTTTGCAGCAAAGCCCTATTACAAAGGCAAAGCCTTGTCCTTAGTAATACAGACAGTCCCCAACTTACCATTTTCCAGCTTTACAATGGTGTGAAAGTGATACACATTCAGTACAGTATTCAGTAAATTGCATGAGATATTTAACACTTTTTTATAAAATAGGCTTTGTGTTAGATGACATGGCCCAACTGTAAGCTGATGTAAGTGTTCTGAGCACATTTAAGGTAGGCGAGGCTAAGCTAGGATGCTTGGTAGGTTAGGTGGATTAAGTGCATTTTTCTACTTATGATATTTTCAACTTACAATGGGTTTATGGGAATGTAACCCATCATAAGTCAAGGAGCATCTTTTCTGCTAGGACATTTATAATAATCACCAAATCCTGGACCAAAGCTCAAGAAGATTCATCTCCCTTGTTTGTTCCAGTCTCCCTGGTTATTCCCAAGACAGTAGCTGGTACATATGAGCCCTCATTAAATACCTGCTGGATGACTGAATGGTTAGATGATTGAATGGACAGATCTTGGATTCAGAGAAAAATATACTCCTGTCATCAGATATTTTAGCCAAAGTGAGTCCAAGGAACTTTCTGGTGAGACCCCAGCTAGCCTACACTAACACTCCTCCCTCTCCTTCTCTCCAGCATCCAGCGTCGGCTGTCCCTCCAGCTCCCCATCCTCCACCACGCCTACCTCCCATCCATCGGAGGCGTGGACGCCAGCTGTGTCAGCCCCTGTGTCAGCCCCACCGCCAGCCCCCGCCACAGACATGTGCCACCCTCCTTCCGAGTCATGGTCTCGGGCCTGTAAGGGTGGGAGGCCTGGGCCCGGGGCCTCCCCCGTGACAGAACCACACTGGGCAGAGGCGTCTGCTGCAAAAACACTGTCGGCTCTGGCTGCGGAGAAGCTGGGCACCATGGCTGGCCTCTCAGGACCACTCGGATGGCACTCAGGTGGACAGGACGGGGCAGGGGGAGACTTGGCACCTGACCTCGAGCCTTATTTGTGAAGTTCTTATTTCTTCACAAAGAAGAGGAACAGAAATGGGGCTTCTTCCTTAACATCTGCAAGCAAGGAGGAGCTGGGATATCAAACTTGCAAAAAAAAAAAAAAAATCTAGACAAGGAGAGAGGCGCTAGAACTCCAGCTGGAAGTCACGGAGTGACTCAAGCAGCCTTGGGAGGAGGCAAGGGGCTTCTGAAGAAACCACCTCTGCACTCTGCACACACATCACTGGCTGTGACCCCTCAGGCTAGCCCTTCTCCACTCTGGGGGAGGAGGTGGGAAGGGCCACCAGGCCCCCAGCTGCCAGGCCAGCCGACCCCAGCCTTCCTGGAACAGGGAGTCTGCAGGAGCGCAGACAGGCACAGCCCTGGGGTAGGCAGGCAGAGCACTGGGGCACCGCAGCAGGCTGACTTACATGCTCCTGATGGGACCTGTGTCACCCAATGAGATGTTTGTTACTCTGGTAAATGCCACACGTTAACACAATAAAACCCATTCCGGGGACCGTGGGGATTTAGGGCACGTCACTGCAGACACGCTCTGCAGCATTCACCGACAGTCTGTCATGCACCCACCACGTTGGCCATGTCCTTGTGTTCCTATCGAGTGCTCCCAGTAACCAGGGGGACCACCCGAGCTAATCATGGAATGTCCGTTCCCAGCAAACACGATAAAGAAAGATTGTGCACTTTAACCTCTCTCATCAGGGCCCAAGGGCTGGCTGGGATTTTTTTTTCCCACTAACTTTGTTTCTGACCAAAGTGAATCGGAGGCATTCTGCTAAAAGACATCCCTGTAGACACAGGGGAGAGAGTTGCTGGCTGAGGGCTTCCCTTGGCTTCCAGAAGGCAGCCTTCCATCCAGACAAGCCAGTGAGCTCTCCCCTTGGGATCACCGGGGTGATCCGTCAGCAGATTGATTCTCATTCATAAGATCATTCTTCCCTTTTAATTGAGCCCCTAAGAGCACTGGCCTGGGAGTCAGACAGACCTGGGTTCAAGTCCTCAGTCCCCTGCCCACTCCCTGCGTGACCTTGATCAGGTCACTAGTGTCTCTCTGAGCCTCAGTTTCCCCTCTGTAACTTGGGGTTGAAATAACACCTGTCCTGCCTACCTCACAAGGTCACTCTGAGGATTGAAACTTGATCTTGTCCAGGAAAGCTTTGTACCAAACAGTGAAGCCGCCCTGACCCGTGAGGTATGAGTATGACTCTGACCTTCAGCCCTCCCTACAGCCGGGGCTGTGGCCCAGAGAAGCTTCCCGCACAGCCCTCTACCCAGAACATCAGGGCTGGAGGGAAGCTCCCAGTGACTTTTCTGACATTCCTAGACAGGTTCATTCTTTGCTCAAGAAAGGCCCGAATGACAGCGTCCAGGATGTCTGCACAACTGAGCAGCTCGCTCACTCCCTAAAGAAACCTATTGGCAGCTTCAACAGGCAGGCAATAATCTCTTCCCAGAACCACTGCAGTCAGGAATAAACTGTTTTCTCCACCAGGCTTTGACAAAAGGGCCCACAGGAATCTTACCATCGCCAACATTTCAAAGCACCCTATTTCACGTAGCATAGCTTTCTGCTCCCCTTCCCCAAAGAGAGGTTATGGAGGTACTGTAGCTTTTAGGGAAAAAAAAAAATGTTAACACATCACAGGTCAAGTTGAAGTCATTCTCTGTTTAGGCACTAAAAATCGGTGTTGTCACTCACTGTGTATTACCAGTATTTACTTGCTTTCTTGATTTCACCAAAACCAAATTTAATTTAAAGGACCACATTAATTTTTCAAAGGGAAAGAGACAATTAATTGTACATAATGTATACACACACACACACACAAAAAAAAAAAATACCTGTAGAAATATTATTCCAGCATAGCAGGAAAACAAACAAACAAAAGTATTGGACTGTCGGAGGTGAGCCTGTGCGTCTGTAACCCTTTGTGACTCCTAAGCGTGCGCCGTCTTCTAGGTTAACTCACGAAGTACATTCTCTGTCTTACTGATACTGTAGGTTCACCCTTTTTTTTTAATTTCCTCGCAAATAACAAGACCCACAGAAGTGACTCTAGCTATTTAATGGTTCTGTTCTTTTATATGCAACAAACACACCGTCCATTTCTGAAGAGGCTTCGGCCTGAAGGCATTTTCCAATGATGTTAGTGCACAAACGCTTTAAATTAGACTGGAACTGCCAGAATCAAATGTAAATGAGGAATTTCTCGTACCCCTACTGCATGGTATCGATTTTTAATAAATTGTTGCAAATTTGTTTTTATGAATAAAAGGAAAAAACCTGTCGTCTTTAATGCCTACTCATCCCAAAATGCAGGTTAGATGGGGCCATATTCCTCCGCTTAGAAACTCAGGGAACAATTCTGGGGTTGCCTGCTCAGCATTGTCCCTGCCTTCATAAACTGCCCATCCCAGCCTCCTGCTGACAGCGGCAGAGCCGCCCTGTTACCAGGTGACCCCCAACTCTGGCCACAGCTGATTAATTCGAGGGTGGGAACCTGACCCAGGCTGGGCCGGTAAATCACTTCCTCAGGATTCCTCCACGTAGAGAAATTTAGTCTGCCATGAAACAGAAAAAAAAAAAAAAAAAAAAAAAAATTTGAGCCAACAGACAATCAGGACCAACAGCTGAGTTGATGGTGTCAGAGTACCTGGTTAGCCGTCTCTTCCCACGCTCCTCTGAAAGCACAGCCCTGATTTTGGTAAGGAAGGGGACCTATTGGAACGGAATCTTGCTCCCACCATCCTTGCTCCCACCCCCGGACATAGTGATTGGTTCAGAAATATGCTCATTATCCAAGACCAGCCAATCAGAGCACTTCCCAGGGTTTCCGCCAGCTGTTTTTCGGGAGGTTTAAAGGCACTCTGGGCCCCTCCTCACCTGTTCAGTTGTTCAGGCGTTCCTCGGATTCTCTGTTCTTCTGATACGTTGCCCTTTTTGCCTAGGTTAGTTCAAGCTGGGTTCCCATCACTTGCAATCCCAAGATTCTTAACTAATATGGAAAACCCACGACCTCCCCAACCCCGACTCCCCTTCGGGGCCTTGCCAGCCTGTCGAGATTTGGTCCCATGCTCCTTTCTAGCCTCATCACCCCATCCCCCTGGAGCCTGTGGAACCACCCCAAAGACTTTTATTTCTCCAGGGTGCTGGGCCTCAGCTGGCAGCTCTGACTCATCTCTCTAGATCCCCTTCAATGGGATCTTCTCTTCCTAGCTCTGGACTGAGGACATTGCCCCTCTCTATGGTACTGGGTACATGCCCACGCTGTCCCCTCCCCATTCTGGACCCTGAGCTCCCTGAGGATGGGACTCATGTCTGCTTCCATGACGTTCCACTGAGCAGCAGTTCCTCCCCGTGGCTCAAAACAGGCTTCAACAAGGCTTTGCACAATTGAACATTTTGACCGAGGTGTGTCCACATTGGTTGCTGGGCCTTAAAGGCAAAGCAAAAGGAGAGGTAGCCACAGCAGGCTGGGGAGGCCCGAGGTTCATATGACTGGGTGCAGTCCTAGAAGTGAGGGCACTGGACTCACAGACTCCACTGGAGGGCCGGTCCCAGGCTGGAGTTTCCCGGGACATGGGATCCTCAACGTGGAGCCTCCCAAGGAGCAGGCTGTCTGAATCCTGGCCTGAGAGACCCCTGCTCCGCTCCTGCTGCTCCACACCACTGCTCGTGCAGCCTTCCTACAGGATGTGGGTTATTCAAGGTTGGGAAACAGGCCCAACATGAAGAATACGTACCCAAGGTCACCTAATAAGGCTGTGGCAAAGGCAGGAACAACCAGAATCTTAGGTGGTCTTCCTTTTCTACCTGACCTTGACTCACAGAAATTAGAGCAGAGAAGGATGCCAGCGGTCATCTTGCCCAGCCCCTCCTAGTAAAGATGGGGAAACGGAGGCCCAGCAACTGGAGCCAAGGTCAACCAGAAGGTCACGAGAGGGCCAGCATGGAACCCAGATGTCCTGGTTTTGAGACTCGGCTCTTCTCAGTCCACTTCCCAACCTATTCTACCACAGATAGTGCAACCACAGCAGTGAGACACTGCCCCCATAGAGCCATTTCTCAGCTACCACAGACTGAGAAATTTTTATGTAGCCTCGCTAAATATGAAGTCAGCCAAGACAACATTTGGTCTCTCCTCTTAACACATTTGAAAGAGAGAAATGCCCCAAGTGTTGAAGATGCTCCTTGTCACATCACTGAAGTGATGCCTTGCTTGGCCATGAGCAGGAAGAGCCCAGACAGCAATGGTGCACTTCATTGCTCTTCATTCTTCTTCAAAAGCATTCTGTCTTCCTTTTGTTATGACTGGCTCATTTCTGAGTTAAAAATAAAATAAAAGGGTATTTCCCAACCTCAAAGAAAGGCTTTCTGGAGTTGAAGCCCTCTTAGAAAGCTCTGTCTGGGGGTCTCCTCACCCTGGGATGTGGAGACAACACTGGGATCCGCTCTGAGGGAAGAATGGGAGAGGTTTCTGGAAACAGCAAGCCTGGGGCACCAGCCAAGGCCTGCCCTTCCAGGCAGTTCCCTGTGCTCAGCAATTTCTTCTTTACAAGAATCAGGATCCACAGACCTAGAAGCCAGTGCTGGGGAGAGGAGGTGGTGCTGGGTAGACTTCATAAAGCAGACTGGCGGCCATCAGCACCTCTGCCTGACCAGCAACCGCCTCTGCCTTCCTGCAGCTCTTCTGGAAGCACTGCCCTACTTTTGCTGGAAAGCAGAAGGGAGAAAATCTGGAGGGCTGCCCTTGCTTCCACTGCTGGACACAGGATTGGTTCAGGGATATGCTCATTAACCAAGCCCAGCCAATCAAAGCTTTCCCCTGATGTTTTTAAGAAGTTTGAAATCTTGCCCTCTATGTTGAGGGCAATGAAAAGAGAGAGACTGAGCTCTCATTGCATTATTTGGGCTCAAGGACCAGTGATACCTAAAAATACATCCATCCTTGAGCTTCTAGGTTTTAAACTAATAGATACCCTTTTCCGCTTACATAGAGTAGGGTTTCTGTCACTTAGAACCAAAAGAAATCTGTGGGATGCAGAGGGGCTCCACGAGGGGTTCACTGTTGTCTGAAACTCTCCTGGTATTGAGGAGATACCAGGAGATATTCAGACATGCAGGAGATATTCTGACATGCAGGAGATATTCCGACATGCAGGAGATATTCCCTGGCCTCACACACGCTGCTGAACAGGGAGGTGGGTAAGGATACCCAAAGGGAAGATGGGGCTAAGAAGCCTCAGGAGGCTAAAGAAGGGTCAAGGAGCCAGGCTGAGGGCCAGAGGGCTGGCACCAAGCTGTGTGCCCAGCACTTGTCACCTGCCTGTCCCCTACCTCCTTGGCTTGTCATCCCTTAGCCTTGAGGAGCAAGGTTTGTGAGGTACTGGATAATAAATGATTAACACACTCTCTGGAAGAGAGAATTGGTCCCTCCTCTGCCTCCACCCCACATCTGAAACCCCTGGCAAACCCCAGGGGCTCACTCCATCATACTTGGTCTCCCCGTCCATGGTCCTGAGTGGGTCCTGCCCAGAGATGACAATTCACTGGTTCCTCCAGGTCCCACCTTCAGGAGCCCCAAACCCTCAATGGGGCATCCACTGAGCCCCTGATCTTTGCCAAGGCCTGTGCTAGGTGCCAGGTGAACACTGAGCAGGATATAGGTCTCAAGAAGTTCACACACTAATAGGAAGACAGATGCTTAATGAAGAAATGACAATAGCATGTGATAAGCACCTACTCCAGACTGGGCATGCGTCCTGCGGGACATAACCTCCAAACAGGGCTAGTTTTGGGGGTTTGCAACCTATACAGTTTTTAAAGGGCCTCATGTTCGGCTTAATGCTCTGCTGTAACTATTTTGAAATTCTAAATAACTTTTGAAAAGGCTTAGAATTTTATTTTTTATTTACTTGTTTATTTTTGAGACAAGTTATCACTCTGTTGTCCAGGCTGGAGTACAGTGGCATGATCACAGCTCACTGCAGCCTTGACCTCCGGGCTTGAGCCATCCTCCCAACTCAGCCTATGAGTAGCTGGTACTACAGGCATGCAACGCCACACCTGGATAATTTTTTATTGTTTAGAGAGACGAGATCTCTCTAAAAAATAAAATTTTAAAAAAATTTATGTTGCCCAGACTGGTCCCGATCACCTGGGCTCAAGCAGTCCTCCCACCTCAGCATCCCAAAGTGCTGGCATTACAGGCACGAACCATCATACCCAGCCCAGGGCTTAGCACTTTAATTTCATACAGAAGCCCACAAATTATGTAGCCAATCCTATACCTAGACCTGAAAGTGAGTAAAAACTAGCCAGCAAAAGAGAGAAAGAAGAGGAGGGGAGAGGGAGAGAACTAGCAGCCCAATTCTGTGGAATGCATGCATCTGCAGGGGCTGCTGTGGCTGCACCAAGGACAACTAGGTTGTTGTGTGTTCATCATTTACCATGGAATCCATGTGACTTCAGATTGCTACGTAATCAGACAGCACGCATCCTATCTGTGTGTGATGACGTGCGTTACATCTGAAAATCATCAGCCTGGTTGCAAATTCCTACACCTTCACTTACCTGGCTGCATGGCTTTGAATGATTCCACCTCTCTGAGCTTCTGACCCCTCATCTGTAAAATGGACATTATACCTCACTCAGAGATTCTCTGACCGCCAAAGAGGCTCATGTAGGAGAAAGTGTCTTGTAAACACTAAGCTTTTATTTGTGCTACTCCCAGACAGGATGAATGTAAAGTGAGCAGCTTTAGTAGGTACAGTGGGGCAGCCAACAGCCTAATCTCCTCACAACAGACTGCATCTAGGAAGAACGCCATCAGGGAAAATATCCTGACATGCTATATTAGGGGCAAGGTGAGATTCTAAAGACAAGGCTAAAAGAGAGACAGCAGAACAATTCTGTTAGAAAAAGAACTAGAAATTTGGGGTTAGAAGGAGAGAAAAATGAGAGAGGAGTGGGTGATAAGTAACGGGGCAGTGTGGTTAAAAACCTTTTAAGAATAGGGATGTCAGCTGGGTGCAGTGGCTCATAACTGTAATCTCAGCACTTTGGGAGGCCGAGGCGGGTGAATCACCTGAGGTCAGGAGTTTGCGACCAGCCTGGCCAACATGATGAAACCTGGTCTCTACTAAAAATACAAAAAATTGGCCGGGTGTGGTGGCACACGCCTGTAATCCCAGCTATGCAGGAGGCTGAGGTAGGAGACCCACTTAAACCTGGGAGGTGGAGGTTGCGGTGAGCTGAGATCGTGCCATTGCACTCTAGCCAGGGCAACAAAAGCAA